ATTAAAGCAAATGCTCCACAACATGAACAAATGTAACACATTTAGAATTGTTACATTCTAATTGTTAAATGTAACAAATGTAAAAATAATATTCTACAACGAGAGAAAAATGCTGTAGGGAAAGATGATCCCACCTTTTACCATAAGCATGCACCTCACCTAACTAGTTGGGAAGCAAACCAGACCTGACTCTTGGGTAGGGAACACAGGTGAATCAACCATGAGAGCATGAGTGCAGGAGATCCATTGCTCACCCTCGTCTACCATTCAGTGGCACAGGTGGGAGAAGATGCCCTCCCTATTCCACCCATCACTACCTGTGTTAAGTGAGAGATCTGGCCCCTGGGTACTGATCCTGAGAGAATCAGCCCTGCCCCTCCAGCTATAGCAGACAGAAAACTGAACCTTGCACCCGACCTGGACAACACAATCAAGTTGACTCCATTGTCAGGGATGCAGGTGTGCCAGCCCTGAGGACATGAAATCAGGAGAGCTGACACACTGTCACCCCTTCATATGCCCCCACACAGCAATCAGAAGAAAGGGCATCCAACATGCCTGGGCAAAAGAGTAGAGCTGACTCTGTCAGTATGAGTGAGGGAACCTGAATCTGAGGACCCAAGAACAGGAGAACTTGTCTCACTCCTTTCTGAAAACTGTATCAGATGAGCTAGCTGAGGCAATACTGGAGAGTTTGTCTGGGTAGTGAAAATGAGGGAAAGCTAGCAAACTGTCCAACCTACCTACCAACCAGGCCCAATACCAAGACTGTGTGTTGGACCACCTGTCATATCCCACCCACATTGAAAGCCATCAGTCAGGTTCCCACATTGGAGCCACATCTGTTGGCGGTCCAGACTAGAAGGGTTCATGCATTCCAGGGTAGGGTTGTGTGGATTAGTAGTGGTAGGCAAAAAGAACATAGACACAGCGAAAAAAGACAGATACTTCTTCCATGATACAAACTGATTTACCATGATGCAAATATCAGAGCAGAGAATTTTATCTTTGCTCTGAAAGAGGTTGATTCCCATTGCTTTGAGTCTATCCTGGTGGACTGTTGCAAGATGATGGGCTACAAACAGTAAATCGCGTCACCAGCTCCTTCCTGTTCATATCCTTTGACCTTCATTTCTTCACTGAACTCTGTCCTCAAATCAAGGGCAAGAGTGACCATAAGGTTTTTAGAAATCCATGTACTTGTTGTTAAGTCTTGTGACAACATGCACAAGAGCTGCAGGATCTGATGCCAGACAAAATTCCCCAATAGAGAGGGAAGGCCATGAAGTTCCAACCTAACTGAGGACTTCTTGGTAACTGATAATTGCTGGTAGAAGAAGAATCAGTTTTCCCTAAGAGTAGTGTCCCTGTTAGGTCAACCATTGTCCCGTAGATAGCATACATCAGATAAACGTTCCTTCTAACACGCTTTTTTGTTGTTGTTGGAGTGTGGGGTTGGGACAAAGTTTCTCTGTAGCTTTCGGAGCCTGTCCTGGAACTAGATTTGTAACCAAGCTGGCCTCGAACTCACAGAAATCTGCCTGCTCTGCCTCCTGAGTGATGGTATTAGAGGTGTGCACCACCACCACCCTGCTCCCTTCTAACACTCTTATTATTTGTGTCTTTCTATTTTTACCATTTATAGTTTACAATTGATAGTTGTCCAGGGTTTAGGGGATAAACTTGTAGAATATTTGTCATTATGAAGTTTTCTGAGGGACAATCAGAAATTCTTGCAATTGACTAAGATAAATAAATACTAGGTAGATAAATAAAATAAAAGAGGGATGATTGGAGTGCATATGGTGGGAGCTTACGATGGTAAGAAGGTAGGAATGAGGAAAATGTACTGAATGGAGATTAAGTTCCCCATTATAGTCAAAGAAAGGAGCCCAAATATTCTTAGGTTGGTCAGATTAGGAATACAAGAGAGGTCAGCGGCTGTTCATTGACAGAGTCTCTTAATTAAAAAGTAAAACCAGACTGACTACATCCTGTGTTTACATCTCAGGTTTTCATGCCTTGGATCAGAAACCATAGGTTTTCCCTAGTGCTCATAATTATGTACATTCCTTTCTGAAGTGCCAATCAGCCCCTTATATAAATGAAATTCTGACATGCTGTGTTTAGCACATGTACTGCATTTTAGCAAAGTGCATGGGAATATTTATTGCGATTGTTACAGTACAAATGTGGAATACCTCAGCACAGTCATGTATTTGAACTCTTGGGACCATGTGGTTGATACTCTTTGTGGAGGTTACGGAGCCTCCAGAAGGTGGAGTCTTAAGAATGACTATTCTCTTGGTAAACATTCATTGAGATAAATAGATTTGGGGTCTGGTTAATTTTGATGTGTGTTGATTTTGTTGTCTTCAAGAGTTTTTAATACAAAGTTTATTTAAGAAAAAGAAAGGCAGAGCCTTGTTGTTGGAAATATGTCACTGTGGTAGACTTTGATGCTTTATGCTTGATTCCACCCTATATGAGATAAAACTGAGAGCTCCAGAGAAGATACAGAACATCATGTCAGGGAAAGCAGGACAGCAGCAACACAGAACTCTTCTGGGAGTCAGAAATACAATGAGAACTGTAAGTAGGACAGGCTATAAGAGTTCTATGTTTTCCTCTAGTGATGGACTCCCTCCAGCAAGGCCCCATCTCCTTAAAGTTTCACAGCCTCCTCACTCAGTACCACTAGATGGGAGCCAACAATTCAAATTCATGAACTCACCAGGAGAACATTTCTAATGCAAAAGAGAATATATTTAGCTTCATAGTCTTTCCAGAGAAAAAAACAGGCAATCATAATTTGGTTCACTCTACTTTCTTAAGTGCATCACAATTCTCACTTCATTTGTTTAGGGTTTATACATATTACTTTAAAATCAATTGCGCTATTATATTAAATACTAATTAATATAACACAACTTAAAGGAAAATGATTTGCTTTGTTTCATAATTTCAGATTTCTGTTCATACTCATCTCTAGGTCTGTCTTAGTTAATGCTAAGCACCATTGTAGGAGATAAGAAGTTTCTATACGTGTGTGTGTGTGTGTGTGCATGCGCGCGCTTGTGTTTACATGTGCATATCTGTGACTGTCTATTCACTTATCCATGCAGGTGCACATAGAGACCAGAAGTTGCTCTCAGGTTGACATCTTCAGTCAGGACTTTGTATTTTTGAGATAGGATAGGCTCTCTCGCTGAGTTGAAATACTCTGGCTGTACTGGCTGTCCCAAGATCTGGAATCTATCAGTCTCCTCCCATTGGCACTAGAATTATAAGCAAGTGCCACTATGCCTGGGTATTGGGGATCTGAACTTAGGTACTCATGTTTGTACAACAAGCACTTTAACCCTTGAGCCACCCTCATAACTCCAGAAATGTCGATCTCTTCACAGAAACTTTTAGTAAAATTATCCTACTTGAGTCTTGATGATTTCATATAAGAAAACATTCTGCTATAGTCATGAGCAAATGAAACTGTCTTTATGGTCCACGGTCTATGTTTTGTACACAGAGAATTCTAGAAGAAACCTACTAAGAATATTTAACATGAGACTTACATGTACTTCACGTGCCTAGCAGAGTGTTCTTTGTGTCTTGAACATTTGCAACTCAATCCTGCTTTATAAATACATCAAGCTTGTTAATATGACACTAGGTCTATTTAATTTTATCATGAAATGCATCACGACTGGGATCATTAGAGAGAAGGAGGAAGGCCCCTCGCTGTAAGGTAGACATTGTCTGTCATCCAGAGATTCACATTCAACCATCTGGAGAAATCCTAACCAGCCTTAATGTCTGCCTTATGAAGCTTGTGTCTTCTTGAACATGTTGACACAGGAGAGCATTTCCTAAATATAACCCTAGCAGCACATACACTGAGAGAAACAATTAATAAATGGGACCTCCTGAAACTGAAAAACTTCTGTAAAGTAAAGGACACGGTCAACAAGACAAAATGACAGCCTACAGAATGGGAAAAGATTTTTATTAACCCCATATCAGACAGAGGTCTGATATCTAAAATATACAAGGAACTCAAGAAATTGATCATCGAAAGAATAAATAATCTAATAAAAAATGGAGTACAGACCTAAACAGAGAACTCTCAACAGAGGAATCTAAAATGGCTGAAAGACACTTAAGGAAATGTTCAATATCCTTAGTCATCAGAGAAATGCAAATCAAAACAACTCTGAGATTCCATCTTACACCTGTAAGAATGGCCAAGATCAAAAACACTGATGACAACTTCTGCTGGAGAGGTTGTAGGGTAAAGGGAACACTTCTGCATTGCTGGTGGGGATGCAAGCTGATACAGGCCTTTGGATGTCAGTGTGGCGATTTCTCAGAAAATTAGGAAACAACCTTCCTCAAGACCCAGTAAAACCACTTTAGGGTATATATCCAAAGGATGTTCAATCGTGCCACAAGGACATGTGCTCAACTATGTTCATAGCAGCATTGTTTGTCGTAGCCAGAACCTGGAAACGGCCTAAATGCCCCTCGACTGATGAATGGATAAGGAAAATATGGTACATTTACAAAATGGGGTACTGCACAGCAGGAAAAAATAATAACAACTTGAAATTTGCAGGAAAATAGATGGAGCTATAAAACATTATTTTCAGTGAGGTAACTCAGACACAGAAAGACAATTATCATATGTACTCACTTATAAGTAGTTTTTAAACATAAAGCAAAGAAATCCAGCCTACAAATCACAATCCCAGAGACCTTAGACAGCAATGAGGACAATAAGAAAGACTTACATAGATCTAATCTACATGGGAAGTAGAAAAAGACAAGATCTCCTGAGTAAATTGGCAGCATGGGGACCTTCTGGGAGGGTTAAAGGGGAGGGGAGAGGCAGGGAAGGGAGCAGAGAAAAATATAGAGCTCAATAAAAAAATCATTAAAAAAGAAGCTTGTGTTTTTCTCCTTGAGTTGCACATTGGTTTTTCAATGAACACAAAGTTTGTGAATTAACATAAATGTGACGTGCATCTGATAGACTGTCTGAATTTGGTCCAGAGTTTTTTTACAGTGTGGTCAGGGTTCATTAAAACCAAAGGACTGATGGTCGGAAAACATGTAGAAATTAGGTCAAAGATGTTATTTAGCCACTTACTTGAAATATCAAAGGCAGAGATATAAGCATAAACGGTGGAGGAGAGTGTATAAAAAGATACAAAGGTGCACACTAGGGTCAGGATGTTTTGAGTAGCTCTGGCCTCAGGGGAGGGTCTGGGGGAAAGCCTTGCCTTGCGGATGTGTTGCATCTGTGTCCTGTGCCTGTGTAGGATGCAAATCATGGTGCTACTAGACCAGAGCATGAGCCCTGAGAATAAAATTTCAGGTAAAAATATGAACACTATATACAATGAATTTGTGATTCCATCCTTAAGCCATGTAGAACAGTATCCAGAATCTTTTCTCCGTGTGAGGTTTTTGAAATTCAAATTTCTGTCGCTGAACAGAGGGAAAATTAAGTTTACACACATGTATAGGATCCAACAAAGGAAAATAGAGATACCAACGTAGCTGGTGGCTTTTGTTTTAAGCTTCTTGCAGCTGGAGTTCATGGGGCTTGTCTTGATAGCCTGAAAGACACTGAGTATGCAGGTTGCTGCAATTGACACCCCCCTGGCCACTCTGTAAATATACAGAATGTATGTACATCCAAACTCATGAAGGAAATGCTTTACTCCAAATGCTGTCATGGTCTGTGGGATTCCTTTGGAAAGCATGATAAGGGAGTTGGCTACAGTCACATGCTGAACTATGACATCTGTGGTCTTGAACCGAAATCCAGTCAGACACAGGGAAACATAGCAATAAAGAAGAGAGAAATTTGCTAAAATTCCAGCTACAGTTTGTACTGTGAATAGAGTTCCTGCTAAAGCATGAAGGGCCATTGTGCCATGGGAATATCTTCACAATTTCTTTTTCCTGAGATAAAATAACCATTGACAAGCTATAACACTATGATTTTCATTTCTTTGTGTGGTTCTTGGATTTCTGGAGGTTTCAAGAGTCAAAAGATAGTCAAATTTATCTACTCCAACCTTGAGACTGTGTTGCCCTAGGTGAAGCAATGACAAGAATGACAAAGAATCACAGTACATCTGTCCCTTGGTGTCTTCAAAGTTCTGGATTTAAATATTCTTGTAAATAAACAAAAATTGTGGCTGATCAAGTCTCTTCTATAAAAAGGCATAGTTCTTGAATCTGTGTACAGACACCCCCTGTGCCACTGGGAGAATGGAGAGATGAGAAAGGGAACAGAGTGTAGAAATGATTAACATTTGTTATGTGACTTATGAAACTGTCAACAATGGAAAAGTAAAAATGATCAAAATAAAAGTTTCTGTTCTGTCTGAAATATATTTCTCTCCAGATTTAACACAGGCAGGCCATTTTGTTAAAATCAATCAGGTTTCAGGAATGGTTATCTCATATACATGTGTCTTTGCCATTTTTTTAAAAACTTCTCTGCCCATTCATCAGAACTACTTAAAGGATTGAAAATTATGCAGTCAAAGATTTCTCAAATACCCCCAGATTATATCAATACCAATGTATTTAGAAATTCTTTAATAATCTTGCATTTTGAAAGTATTTACATCATCATTTACAGTGAGCTATTCTTCCCTTACAATTTTTGTTACTTCTATTATTTATTTTAGTTTGTCTTTCTCATCCCTTGACTGTTATACATCTGCCTCATCATCTTGGTAAAAGTTTCAGCGATGAGTAGGTACACAAATAGACTGTTTGTAATGTATTTCTTGTGTGTTTTTGTGTATCAAAGAATTTCAAGTAATGGACAACCTGTATTTACTGTTTATTGCCCATAAAAACTAGGGAATTCTGGAAGAACAGTAATTGTGACAGAGGTTTGCATAAAATACCATCAGTAAGTTTACAGAGAAAACACACAATGAAAAGTAAAAATGGAGCTGGAGAGATGACTCAGAGGTTAAGAGCACTGATTGTTCTTCTAGAGGTCCTGAGTTCAATTCCCAGCAACCATATGGTAGCTCACAACCATCCCATAGCCACACTGACGAATATCATGTCTTGCATATCACCATAGAACCTTCATCTGGCAATGGATGGAGATAGAGACAGAAACCCACATCGGAGCACTGGACTGAGCTCCCAAGGTCCAAATGAGGAGCAGAAGGAAGGAGAACATGAGCATGGAAGTCAGGACCACAAGGGGTGCGTCCACCCACTGAGACAGTGGGACTGATCTAATGGGAGCTCACCAAGGCCAGTTATCTTTGAGCTAGAGCCACACACCTTTGTGAGCTGTCATGTGGGTGCTGGGAATTTAACCCTGCTCTTCTGCAAGAGTAGGAAGTGTTCTTTACTATGATCCTTTACTCTAGCCTCCCCAGTCTTCCCTATATTGTAACCATGATGATTTAAGAGTCAAGCTTATAACAACCTTGAAATTTTTTGTTCTGTTTCCTATTAAAACGTCTGAGTAGCAGAGTGGCTTTATAATCCTCAAACATGTGAAAATTTAGTTTGATTATATTAAAAAGTCATTATCAAGTAAATAAACTTTGAGTTCAATAAAATTGTCATAATGTCTTATGATATTCAATTTCTTTACTCAAATACCTCATGTCTTTTATTTATAAAACACTTTCTAAAGATTTATTTATTTATTTATTATGTATACAGTGTTGTGCCTCCATCTATGCCTGCAGGCCAGTTGAAGTCACCAGGTCTCATTATGGATGGTTGTGAGTCACTATACGGTGTCTGGGAATTAAACTCAAAAATCTGTGGAACAGTAGCTAGTACTCTCTATTGCTGAGTCATTTTTTTAGCCACAGCTACCTCATGTCTTAGAATTCATTTCTTTGTTTATGATTTTTGTAGTTGGTTTCTTCTTTCTTAAGATATTGTTTGCTATAGTGAAAACTCAAGGCTCACTTCCCTTATAGACTACCCTAAAATTAAATTGAAAATGCTTACCTGACTCAGTCTTGATACTAGGTTGATAGCATCCATGTGATAGTCTCCACAATCCATTTGGATATATGGGAAGTACACAGCAAGGGAAGATAAAGACTGGTAACTATGTGATCTCACCTCCCTACAGAATGGTAATTGCCACTTCATGTCCACTTTAGAGCAATTGACAATGTAAGCCTGGGGAGCCAGCAGTATCTCTAATTAATTTTCTCCCAGTTGGTGATTTATAAGAATCACAAATCATTAGTAATCTTCTAATGAAACTTTCTGTGTCCCTCTCTTTCTTCCCAACTCTTCCAACTTCCTGGGAATTGTAGTTCTTCTCTCAAGTTCTATAAGATTAACTCTTTTACATAAAATGTAATTAACACTATGTGTTCCTCGCCTTTCTATGCCTGTTATATTGATGGAATATAATGACTTCCTCTTCTAGCCATGTGACTATAAATCACAGGTGTGTGGTAATTTTTACTTTTATTTTTATTTTGTGAGCTTCACACATAAGTAAAATGTATACTGATTGAATTCCTATTCATTACCCTCTTTTATTCATTTCTTTTCCTCTGTGCCCCTTCATTATCATAATTTACGAGTGGCTACCTTGTTGAAAATGTCAGCTCTTTTTCTAGTAGCCATCCATAGCCATTAGATTCTCAGGATGTTATATGGCTTGTGGGTACCTCCTCCATCTATGTTAGAATGTTGGAGGGTCCAATTTTTACAGAAATCATGACTGCTAAATGTCAGAATTTTCCTGGCCATGTTGTACCTGGATGATACCCCTTCCACATTCTACTTTCCGAAATTATTTATACCTTTTCTTCTGTGAGGTACTTAGAACCTTGGAAGAGATAAGAGATATCATATTTAGGGGTGAGCATTCATGCATCATTTGTTCTCAGGATTTTACCAGGAATCAATCTATGTTATCTATCAGCCTCTGTAAAATCAATTTTCTCTTTCCCATGGTAAGAGTGATAGTAGTCTACAGGCATTAATATAAAATTTAGAAGGACACTTGAGAATACACCAAGTTTTGGAATTGTATTTTCTTTCTTGTTTTTAAGGGCCAAAGAGTGTTGCCTGTAATTTTTCTACCACAAGGTCTCTGTCTGTTCACAAGTTCATGGACATCTCTCTTGATTCCACTCAAGAATATTGTCAAGAGTGTTACAGTAACAGCAACAGGTGGTGCAGCTCTTTGTAGTCCTGAAAAAGCCTAGTACTGACCAGTGGGGACAATGCTAAGTCAGTGTACCATCTAGATTCTCTGTGTCCTATGGTTCAAGTACATGCTATCCTCAGCAACAGTGTCTTCCCATCAAGTTTTTGGAAGAAGAAAAATAATGTAACTCCTTTGGTTTGTTTTTGAGATGTTGTATTTTTCATTTATTTTGGTTTTATGTCAAGGTACTCTTGGGTCTTTGCAGCCACTAGTTAATACAATTTGTGATGATTTTATTGAGGGTAAACAAAATTTGATATTTTGCTGGAGTTGACCGAACCAATAAATCACTTTTAGTATTTGATTACGTTAACAATATTATCTTCCAAGAAATCCATGCTTCTTTTCATTTAAGTATCTCCTCTAAATTTTTTTCACAATATTTGCCAGGTTGAATTTTCACATTGTTTTAATTCCTTGCTGCATAAGTTGTTTTCTTAATACTATGACAGAATATGTAGAAATAAGCTTGATTTGGGAAATAACCAAGGCTAGCTAAAAAGATAAAACCATTGTATTTTTATTTATTATAAGGGAGAAAACTCACAAAACAGGAACGAGAAGTCCAAGCTCAGCTGTACTGCAAGTGAACCACAGAGACAGAGAGCTCCTGAATCAAGTACCATTTTGCCCCAGGTCCCAGAAAGCCACACCCTAACTTGGTCCCATCTCTTAAAGTTAATTGTTTGACAACGATTCCCCACCAAGAATATCTAATGAAATGTGTAAAGAGAGATAGGATTTATTTTATCTCATGGTTTGAGAAGAAAAAATCCTTCATGGTAGGAAGAGCTAGTGTGATGCAGCACCATGGGAGCAAGAGGCTGTCATGGTGACTCCCCATGTCTTCGTGCCTTGGTGGAAGAAGATACATGGAGAATATTGAAAATAAGAATGGGCTTTGAAATTCAAGGCTTGATCCCATCAATCCTGTACCTTTGGATTCTCAAACATTTCAAAACAGCACCATCATCTGTGAATCAAAATTTCAAGCACGGGCAGAACATTTCACATTCTTGTGGTAATCACTTGATGAGATGTATTCCTTTATGACTTACTTTTTAAATAATAATCTGTGGATAACAGTGCTTAGTTAAGTTACTTTCACCTGTTTCAATTGGTGTACAGAAATACTACTCCTTTTTTAGCCTGATACTTCATTGGCTCTGAGTACTAATACCTAGTACTAGTAATAACTTTGATTAGAGTCTTTAGGAATTCCAATATTGAAGATCATATTTAATGTAAAAAGGACCTTGCAATGTTTTGGATATTTTATGTCTTTTTTTATAACTTAGAGTACCTAGAAAAGATCTATCTCCTGCGCTCATCATCCCCACCTCTATAGAGGTAACTTTAACTGCTGTTCTTGAATATCAGCAACGATTGATCTGGCTTTTTTCAGCTGAATTCAAGATTATGGATATGGCAGGTTTGGAGTATCCATTCAGAGTACTGATCTCAAAGATTCCCAAGGTCAGATATAGGGCAGAAAGGAAGTTCTTCACTGATGCCTAGAAAATAATGGAGTAGTAAGAGAAAGAGTCATACTCCTAGAAATGTATATTAGTCAGGGTTCTCTAGAATAACAGAACTTATAGAATGAATAAATGTGTGTGTATATTTGATATATATTTGTAAGATTTATTACAAGTACTTACAGGTTGTCTTCCAACTAATCCAAAATTAACTGCCTAT